CAATGGTCACGTTCGGACAACGGGGGCGATGGAACGGGGAGAAGGGTTCAGCTATGGAATGAAAATGGCCAGGGTATAGAATGAGCACCCAGACGCACCGACTGCGAAGTATGTATTGATTTGCCGTTGTCGGTCGATGTACAAGCTATTGTATGTTCACTCTTTTCCTACCCATTCTTTCCCGTCGTTGTAGTCGTTGACATATCATCTGGTAGGGGGGTTGATTTGATTGCCTGCCTTGATTGTCTACACGATGGATTGTTGTGACTTCTCGCAGGACGTGTTATGGCGGTGAAGAGACCAGATGGCGAAGAACAAGACGTGTGGTATGCTGCAACGAGAGGAATGCGTAACAGTGACGATGAATAATCAAGTCATCAGGTTGGACATTGGAATGGAGACTGTGGTTGTCTGCATCAAAATCGAAGTGAGTCTCGCCGGATAGAGAACAGCTGAACTCGGCAAGGCTGGACGACCCGATAGGTGCATTTTGATTTTAGTGGCATTGTACACGGGCCGCATCGAGTTGTTGTGTACATGCTTCCAACCATGAGTTCGGACTCAATCATCGGGCTACAGCGTAGATTGGTTGTTGTATCGATGAGGTTCATGTGACCGTTGGGTGTACATGACGTGTGGATGGTTGGTCCATCCGCAGGCCCATATGAGTGTGGACATACGCACCTCTGGAGTCAGCGAAGGAGTTGTGTACCGGCGGATGGTACCTCGTCCTGTCTGAATCGTCTCGACGTGGAAACGGGCCTGACCTGACGCTCCTCCGCTCTCGGAGGCACCTGTTTTTGCCGTTAGAAGGGTTGGAGAGGGTGAAAGTCTGCCAGATCGTTGGCACGAAGATGGACAAAACATTCTGCCGATACCACCCAAGTGACAGTGAAAGGGCAGATTCATTCACGAGATGGGTATTGACCTTGATCGTCACCAAATTGCGCCACGCGTAGTCCCCTCACAGGACATTCTTAGTATAAGCTGCACCAAGGTACGTATTTGTATTCACGAAGGCGGTCTGCATAAGTATTTGTCTTGGTTCGGTGTGATGGGTGCCCTCTCTTCTCTCGTCACCGGTCATACAGATGTCATCTATCGTGACACTGATAGCAATCCAAAATCCGTTCTTAGGGTTGCTCGTAGATGGACACCACCGCTGCCCCGGGACGAATGGTTTAAGATGCCGCGTTCAACCTGCTCGCAACTTGAGGAGACCTGTACACGGCGTCTATTTCCTCGTTCGCGCGTATCGTCCTCGATGCCATCGTGACATGGTGGGCGTTGTGCTTCACAATGGATGGTGTGAAAAGCTACGTTCGTGTTCCTCGATTAGATTGTCGTGAAAACGATGGCGGAAAGGAGTGAGCAGTGTGGGATGGGGTGGGTTGGGAGAGATTCCGGATTGGTATGACCCACATGGCACTTTCTGGTATGCAGTTGTTGTTGAACCGACAACGAGGCTGCTGTAGAACCGAACAACTCAATTTGTGCCAAACACTTGACAGGCCTCCCCGCGCATGGAATATATTCATGAAATGCGTCATTTGCACGGAGAAGCCTCGTTCAGGTTCACCCCCCCTCCCCCCCCTCAATGTGTTCCCAATAACGGGCACCATGCTTGTCAACATGTTGTTGCTTTGATAATGCGGAGAATTGATGCACTGGAGGGTCTCTATCATAGGTGGGACGACTGTTCACGTTGCCGCATTTCGGTCCAGCACTGACATATATATGCGCTCATAACGGAACGAGGATAAGAATAGTGAAACTGTCGCACCTCTCTCACGAATCGCACCCACGGCATCGTGGTCTCCGCACGGGTTGGCGTCTTTGCACCCACCCCTGTGCAATCCGAATCGGAGAGCGAAACATTCCCAAAGACCGCATATCCGACGACGTTTTGGTTGTGCACCTCCTAAACCCTTGAACATGTTGTCACCGATATCGCGACTGACAGCGATACGTCCTCTCGAGTTGCCTATTTTTCCAATGTGGGACCCCGGCCGAAACCTACACCCAGGATGATAACGCGTGCTGGAGGGGAATGACGTCAAGAGTAAACTCCCCGACGTGAATCAACAAACCAAAAGAGGTCAAACATGTTTCGAGATTCGTTTCCCCGTCTTACCAACCCGATGCCGGTCAAGCAAACCCTGCCTGGCCAAAGACAAAAATATTCCGCAACCATTCTAAGAAACAAACAATAACAACAGTGGGTGATCACACCACCTTCCGACGGTGCGTTTGCCTATTGAAACGCCGACGTTTGCCACAAGAGCTCACCGAACCGAACAGGTGACCTCAGCGCCAACCCCTGCCGCAATAGACGGTACGTGCATACTCTCTATGAACACCGTCGGGCAGTCACAACAAGCTTTGAACGGGCTGGGTACGTTCGGGAGGTAAGAACCATCTTCGGCCAGCCATCCGAATGCTATTGCTGTTCTTGCATCGACTGGGAAATATCAATAGGCAACTGATACTGTAGGCCTCAGCCTGTGCTCATGTGATGCTGGATCACAATCCGCGCTGTTCACCGACGATATGAGAGGAGTGGAAGACCCAAGAACACAACTTTCGGCCAATATATAAAAACAATCTATCGATGCATGTTTCAGTGATTTACATGCGAGCCATGGGCGCCGCCCTGTTTTTCTTGCATGACGCCACCAAATCGCTCCAGTAACGGCAATCACGGAAAAGAAAAGACGAACGCGCAGAGTCAATCTCTTATAAATTGCTTGTATTTAGTATACACCAACTAGAGCTAAATCTCGATCGCAAGACTCCGACACGGTTCCCAAGTCAGTCTCGCATGGCACGTAGACTCTCTTCGTCCAACCTAACATCTGCTCCGATATTTCAAAATTGTGAAAGCGGCGAAGGGCCACACGTACGAACACGCATGAATCCATATATGTAGTACCCAAACCGCTGGGTGAGGCCACGAAATTTCCGGCATCTCCCCCCGCCACCCAAAAACCGACGATAGATGGGGGCGAAGAGAAGACAACACGCCGCCCGTACAGTACAAGGCAAAACTTCCCCGACAACCGGGATCTCCATCCATCAATGCACCGCCCGCAGCTGGCGGAGATCATTGATCTAAGCAGATTTCGATATTGCACAGGCAGGCGGTGTTCATGGCGCTTCCAGTGTCGTCTGCGCCAGGAAGTGTTCCCTCCCCCCACCACCCAGTCCAAATGCGGTTGCCGGTCGCGATGTTGCCTGGGATATCTTCCATGAAGTAGGCCTTCGGCACTTCGCTGCAAAAGCAACAACGGCAGGCAGCCGGGCACGCGCAAGCGCAGGAGAGCGATGGACGGGGGCCGATTTCGCGATGAGGCATTTTGTATGTCATATTTACCGGTTGGTGCCCTCGGACGGACGAAATATCTTCCCGCGTACGTCAAATGTGCCCCTTTGGCGTCTTAAAAGTTGCGCCGGAACTCATTCTCAAAGCTTTTGTGCCTCAAAAGAACAACCATGTACATACGATTGTTCAAGTTTGGAAGCAGTTCCGAAGTCCAGGCCGTACACAATTTAGCTGTGAATTCTGAACGGAACCTAGTCGTTGGGAGAAAATGAGCGATTTCATTCGATAATCGAGGACGTGGTGCGTCATAAATCGAAGCTGCCAACCGTAGCATGACAACCCACAACGTGGAACGTGCTAAAAAAACTCGTCATGTATGTTTGCGAAAAACGCTCACTGATTATGCGGTTGTCCCTGTCTCCAAACGTAAAACAACTCTCCATTGCGTCTGTCAACAGTCTTCGATATCGTGGTTGGTTCTTGCAAAACGGCTTCCGAGTGAAACAAGCGGGGGGTCGGCAGATTGCCCTGTTTTCACTGTTTCGTTAGCATGCTTATGGGGCTTGAAGTCGGGTGGTGGGCTGAAGGCAGGTGTCGACGAGGTGTTTCGCAAAAAAAACAAGCCGACTTCACGGTCCAGAAAGTGGTTTTCGCATACAGCTGCCTTGCTCAAAAGACATTAGAGTCACCGACGAAAGGCCTCACGTATATGCCAGCGATAATTGGGCGTGGCTTTCCTTTTGGCCGTTTCCTCGGACTGGGCCCACTTCCTTTCTGGACATCAAAATCGTACCCCCGATAACGTTTGGCTGCCCGCCTGCTGCGGTTTACCGAATGTATCCCATGGTCTCGAAAAATTTAGGGAGGTTGGTCCAATCTTAAGGGCTGCCGCGAGATCCATGGTGATGCACAACTGAAATTCTAGATCCAGGTCAAGAAAAAAACAAGCGTCAAGTCCTGTGTACTGAAATGTACCTCTGGACAGCTCGATATTGACGTGGCCTTAAGATCCCTGCTGCCACGAGAGAATACCAAGTTGCTCCAAATTGGATCGGAACGCACGGACTTGCGCTGTTCAGCAGACTTCAGGAAGAAGGATAGGATTTTCGGCAGTATGGGGGCAACAGCCAGGAATCCATCTCGACACGTCGGTCTTCCACTGTTTGGTAACAGAACAGAAGGGCCGGGAAGACAACCGGGCTACCCGAGGCTGCACATTTTTCTGCCGTAAAAGAGAGCGGTTACAAACCGGACACAGATTTCTCGAACCGTAGCCTAGCGTTCACCTTCGGAAGATGCGCAGGACGTTGTCGTCTGTGATGAGCCACGAGTTGGGGTCGGATGGCGGCCCCAAGGTCGACACAGTCCACCAATCTTCAGCAGCAATGCCTGTTAAAGTACCGATTAAGAGTAAATGGTGGAGCGGGTGCAGAAGGAACAGATGAGACACAAGGCGCCGGAAGAGCGGTTCCGGGTAACACGTCGTGCTCGTAAAACAATAAAGGAGGACGGATCCTAACTCCTGCACTCAAAACAGGATGTCATATGCATACTGCTGAGAAGCAAGATGACCACTAGCCAGCGCTGACTGGTAGTCTAGTGGTCATCGTGCTTCTCAACAAAGTCAGCGCTGACTAGTAGCCTAGTGGTCATCGTGCTCCTCAACACATACTCTACAGCCGATGCGGTTCACTCACTTCTGGTGCATTCCCACAGAAAATGACGAGGGGTATGGAAAAATTCGATTTCCCTGTTTCTCAGCAACTTCGATGGAGGTAGGATCAAAAACAGGCTCTCTGCAGTTTGCACTTGGTGCACGTTCTCTTCTCTCTTCTTAGTAGCTTCAACACCGTGAATGCATTCCTCCAAGGCGCTCTGACTCGTATCCCTGAGGTGTTCAACGCTCCCGTTATGCGCATGAAACTACTACAGAATAGCTACTAGGTTTTACAATAGTCAAATGCATGTATGGCACAAGCAGCGTTAGTGCGTGGGGTGAGGACACCCGTGACTTCGGCCCCAAAACAATTTTCAGCGGAAACTCGAGTCAAAAGCACAACCGCTGTGGAAACGCTTTCACACAAGCTCGAACGAACAAGGCACCAGCGCGCGGGCGCTCTCTCTCCGAACAGAGTGGCTACCCGTGGGCCAAAGGGCATGTGTCTAACTGGGCGGCAAGAGGGAAAAAGTGTAGTTATCAGTGGCGATGACAACATTGATGCACACTGGCAAAGGTTCCCGCTTGAAAGAGATCATTTGGAAGAGGCGCTACAAGTAGTCGCCGGGACGGAGTAGAGCAGATGGTTGGGCAAGTCCCCACCGCGGAAAAGCTATCTATCATGACACGGCCGGAACCCTAGCAGAGCAAAACATGTATCTCCCCTGCACAAAGCTGATCGTCAACCAACAAAGGTTTAGGGTAGAGCCCTCCGTTGTGCAGTCTATATACCACGCACCACTCGTTCCTCCGCAGCAATACTCCGGCGTCGTGTCCAAAATACTGTGCCAGCGATGTTACGCTCGCCGTGCTTTACGACTAACGCAGGACAAAATCCTTTGTCCTTGCCTTCTTATGACCATGGGTTCATTGCCGGCACTCAAACAGCACAGGAAGCCTACATACAGCTCGCGACGAGGCCAGGCAGGTGATCGATACAAATCGAAGGAGAACCAATCACTATGCGAGAGCCTGTATCTTACCGTAAGCGCAAAACCCGCCCCACGCCGGAATGTAGTCCAACGGGGATGCCTGAGGAAAACCGGAGTCAAACGGGCGATATCGGGTCGGGGGGGGGGGGGAGAGCTGGCTCGCGAAGAGCACACACGCGTTGCTGGCTTCGTGGACCTCGAACAAATTTTATCTAAACACAACAAAACCCCGTACTCAGATACATGTGGTGGCACTTATTCGATACGTAATACCCCATACACAGGGTGTGCTTCTCCATTCACTGCAATACGGCAGGGAACGGATGACCAATCTGCTTGGACACGAATTCCCATTGACAAGCCTCGAAAACAGCGCAGCGGATAGCGAACCGTGGAAAAACTGCCAAAGGTACAGAGCTGTAGTTGTCCTAGAACTGGCGCGGACGGCAGCGGTCATCGAGACCCAAAAGGAAAAAAAAAAAACATCTTCCAGACACAATACCTTGCGACCACGAGGTAGACGTTCGAACTCGATCTCGTTCGAGAGACAAAGCTGTCTTGCACTACTGTACTTCGAACCTCGTTGTATACACGACGTGCTGCGAGTGCAACTCGTAGCCGCACTTGAGGGAATGAACCAAACAAATTGCTACCCCCTTGTCGCGGTAAAGAAGGAAAGAAACAACAAGCACCCATGTATACAACAGGGAGGATTTCTTCTGGTCAGAGAGGCAATACTTGTGCCATCCCAGTATGCAGCAGGATTTCTCCCCTACTCACAGCAAAGAAACCCTAACCCTTCAACCGTTGTGGTATCGCCTCGAAAGGGTCGTCTTTCAGTGATTGCATGGTCTAGGGGCAAGGATTGTCCCTCCGCCAGCCCCGTGAGGCGGGAGGCCAATAATTGACGAATGGATGTGGAGGCGAAGACATAGGGTGATGTTGTAAAGACTTGACGGGTGCTTCGAGCTCCATTCATCATGCTCTCGAAGAGGGCAGAAATGATAAAGTATGTGGGCAATCTGTGATCCAGCAGCGGCGACGAGAGGAACTACTGATCATTGATTGAACATTTGCAAATGCTGGTGTAGTGGCAAGTCGTGGAGTTGCCGCCCTGCAGCCCTTCGCGCCGTGTATTGGCAAGTCCATAGGTAGGTGTGTCTAGATTATTAGCACCCGCGCTAACCGGCTGACCAATGAAGAGACTTCAGTGACAGCGGGTAATATCAAGGTCTCGGGAATGGGAATGGGGCCAATCAATGCCAAATCATGAATCTCTCAACGTATGTATGCACATGTCAATGAACGCGTGTGTGCATACAGTACATACATACATACATATGTGTTCTTTCGCAGCACCACACATACACTCGCCCGAACGTAGGAAGCCACTGCTGCAAAGAGCAGAGGACAGCAAAAGGGAGGGGTATTGCAGTCCCTGCCGAAGCCCAGATATCGAGGATATCGTGGTTCCCAACAATTTGAAAATCGTTCCCAAGATCCAGCAGTCATTGTGTCAACAGCTACAACGAACGCTACAACAACACTACTACTACTGCTGTAGACGAGTAAAACATATCAGCAACACATCCACACTCGTAGCGCCACACATACCACCCTCGCCCGAACCTAGGAAACCACGAGGTACAGGTGTGTGCTGGTGGATGTGCTTGTTGTTTGAAAAACACAGGAGCTCCAGAGAGTTGGCAGGGCACATTTCGGGGGGGGACAGAGAACAGAGAAGTACAGAAGTACAAATACCAGCTATGGGTCTTCACTGATCATTTTGCCCTCTCTGGACTGATCAATTACAATATACCGAAAATAGACTAGTTGAGGCAGCTAGACGACTGATCATTTCAAAGGCTACACAGCTAACCTGCCCTACTGACCGCAGCGCGACCACCCACCAACCCTTCTACGACCCTGTCTGTGGCCACCACCCTGTCGCCGGCTTCTCTCATGGCCTACAGGTGGAGATAGCTGTTGCGTGTGCAGAAGTACACTCTGGTGTCTTTTTCTGCATTCCTCTCTCTCCCGCTCGCTCTCGCTCTCATTTTTTTTTTTTGGCAAAAAAAAAAATCTGACAGTCCAGCCTAGACCCAAAGGGGTTAAGAACAAGATGGTGTGACGAGATGTGACGATCTCTGACGCGGGTTTAGTGTGGAGCTAGTCCGACCACTGTGTGCAGGTTGGAGCCGCTTCGCTTCTTCAGTCTGTTTCCTTCCTTATCCTTCCTTTCTTTCTCAGTCGCTCGCTATCGCTCACTCCCAGGCAAGACACTGAGCAAGGTGGAACGCTTGCACTCGCTTGCTACTGCTAGCAACCATTGTTTTTACCTGCCTAAAGTCGGAATACTAGGAACCTGTGGGCAGGTGGTCGGGGTATTCCTGAAAGATACACCCGCCCAGATGGTATCTTAGTCCAAGGGTCCAAACACCATAACAATGGAATAAAGAACAAGGTTTCATCTAGACATTGGCAACAACAGATTTCGATTGCTTTCTCTCGGCGGACGTTGTTGGTCGACAATTTTCCCTCTATTGCCCAGGGGGACGAACATTAATTCGTTTTTGGATTGGAATTCAGTTGCAATTGCTATGTATGCAAATAGTTTTTCAGGTGCCATACGAGTGATGAGAACCCTGTGTGGGAGTTAACCTGATTGTACCCTGGCCAATAAAGGACTACTCGGAGAACTGTGGAACATGGCGGGTACACCATCCCTCGAAATGGCCACCCGTGTACACATAACATAGACTAGGAGCTGATTCAATGTTGCCTGAAAGCAACCTCCCAGTAGGGATACATAGCGAGGTACGTAGGATTTTGATTGTGGTCGAGGCATGGTAGGTTGATTGTGGTACGCCATGCCTCCCTGCCTCCCTATGTTCAAACGGTTGAGTCGATGATGTAGATACGTATGTGTGCTGCTAGCTTCGCAGACTTTGCAGGCTGTCTCTCAAGAGATGCTGTTGACAGCAACAATTATCGCAGGCTGTCTCAATAGACATTGTTGGCTGTATGTGATACACACGGCATACTGCTGTGTGTACCATACCGACAAGAGATATTTCGTCGGCATTGAATTGTTGAGATACACGACACAGAATTCCACCGCACCGCAGTGTACATCACACATGCTATGGCTGCTCACCTCAAACAGAGCTTTGTTCTGTGCCGACGCGAACAAAAATGTGTAGCCATTGTACTTCACTGGGTACTCCTCGAAGCCATACATGGCCGCTTCCCCTTCCTTGAGGGAGAAGTAGCTCACGACATCAGCGCCGTTGAGCACGGGCTCCGTCGACGTGCCGCACTCCCACGTCGTTGTCTGTGAATCCGAAACCGCAAGGAGCTCCTGACGGTTTTCCTCCTTCTTCACAGAAACTAACCGGCCTGGGGCTGTAGCTGCCACAAAGACCCCGATGGCAAGGAGCAATGCTATCACGGGTCCGGCGACGCCCCTCCTGCGTACCGCTCCTTGTCTGTCCCTATCAACTTTCCCTCCCAACAGGCCAGAGCTCTCGTCGTGAGGCATGCCTTCCCTCCGCGTGCGGGGACGTCGGCGATTGGACCGGTTTAATACGGTGGAGTCGACAAACACACGCGCGTTTGGTACGGAGAAGTCGATGAACGCAGTCGTAGGAATGCGGGTCACGCGACTGCACACGCAACGGCCGGGGTATCCAACCACCGCCGTGTGGGCATCACGATCACGGTAATCGGTAAGGGCGTATATTACGGTGTTTGTTTGCGAAGTTGAAATTTCAGTTTCATCTTGGTCTTTTTGATCCCCCCGAGCGCCGAAGACCGATGGATCTTTAGGAATCCAATCTTTTGCTTTATGGAAATGCCCCCAAAGACCGCAGGAAAGCTTGAATTCAGTCTTGCTCATTTTGGTCTTTGAAGGAACAATTTTTGATTGGCCTACACACCCCGAGATACTCCCGACGTCCTCCCGACACCGCCGCACCATCCATCCCGTGGAGCTGCCCAAACACACACACCTTGGCCGCCGTAGACGACACCATGGCGAACCAACTACAAACAGCAGCAGTGCCGCCAGACCACAGACGGTCAGACAAACGTCGCTGCACCGCACACCCATTGCATGCTGCCGACATGGTGCAACTTTTGCTTCAGTTTATGCGTGGACAGAAGCATGCCGCTCTACATGCATGCTCATAATAAGTGACACATCAAGCCGCGGCGTGAGGAGGGTGAGGCGGTGAGGCGGGCGGCATAGATCTCAGGAGTGCGGCACAGGTGGTGGAGGCGGAGGTGATGGAGATGGGGATGCTTGAAGCGGCGTGGGGGCGTGAGGAGCTGCAGCGCGTGCGTCCTGTGGACCGTGCTGTGGTGATTTGTTTGACAGGAAACGATCGACTCCGTCGACTGCGATATATATGTATCACAACTTGTTCGCGTGCTGTAGGGGTACGTACACACATGCATGCCTCCACTTTTTCCGGCGCTACGCTTCCCATGCACTCCCGGTAACTGAACTGGGCCAACCGCCTGTTCATGAATTAGTACGTTGCTCCATCAGTATTCTCCATGACTGGGGGTGAGGGTGATAGTGGAGTATGTAGTAGTAGTAGCCTTGTTGGGGTGAAAGCGGAAGCTCGGAAATAAATATGTTTGGTGTTTCGAGTCGGCTCAACCATCTGTCTGCCGCCGCCGGCAAAGGGGCTCCGTCGTATTGAACGCAACGTTCTAGGAAATTTCCGTATGTTCAAGACTGAAATATTGCGCTCCGGTCTTCGCAAGCTATTTTTGAAACCAAAATTCAATCTTGGGCCGGAATTCCTTCAAACTTCCAAGACTGAAATGAATGGGAGACCATTTCGCAAACACCCTATTAACGAAGTGCCGAAAATCAAAATCGAAAATATCAAAATCAAAATCGAGATCTGATTGGTCGAATATCTGCGACCTCCTGACGACGCCCTTTGATTTTCGATAAGTTCCTCTGTCTGGGAAGAAGTCCCCGGGGGACTTTTTTTATCAAAATCAAAATCAAAAAGGAAAGGAGTTCAAGACTTCGAAGGCTTGGAGCACCTGCCGCGAGGCCGCTGCAAAGCAGGTGTACGACACGACCTGCTGCACACTGCTTATAGAGGGGCTATCGGCACTCTACCACCGACAACATGGCCATTATTTGTAACCAGAAGACTCTGCTCGCCGGCAAGCCACAAAACGGGCCGGCTCGTTGGGCACTCGAGGAGAAAATGCCGATCGTGACAACAAGCGGTGAACGGACTGACGATCAGAACAGGGCTGCGCGGCTTTTTCGGGCTGTTCCGTGCGGGAGAGGGTAGTTGCAACCTTTTTTCTCCACACTCACGATACCCCAAGGCATCTAACCTTGTACGGGACAGATGGTGGGTAAAGCTACCTCCCGTCGCGTGGCATTGCTGATGCTGTTGCTTGCTCCTTCGAAGAGTTATCGCTGAAAAACTAAACTGTGAGCAGACATTCGGCGCGAACTTGAACTATCCGCTCTCTGACGTGGATTTTTTAGGGTCAACCAAAACTTTTTTCCCTACACGCACGATACCCCACGGTAGCAGAAGTTGGGCTTGAAAGATGAAGCAGAGACGTACCTCCTGCCGCGTGGCGTTGCTGTTGCTGTTGCTTCCTTCTTCGGGAAGTTATTGGTGGATATCACAACCCGTGGCGGCCCAAAACACCCAACTTGAAGTGACCGCTAGCAACCGTTGGCATTTTTGCTTCAACACAACCTTTTTTTTCCGGCGCATTCGGCACCTCACGGCCCCAAACCTTGGCATTGCCCAACAGCCCATGTTTCCAGCTCCTTCCGGATACCTTTCTTGAGGCAACTTGTTGAGTATTTGGCGAGATATCGGCTAACACGTGAACAGAAGAGCGTAAAACGCACCCTAGAAAAATCACCGCTGCGCTGCTGGCTCTTCCCCTGGTGCCAGGTCTTTTTGATTTTTTGCCTCATCTGTCTCCTATCCTCGTTAACCTACACGACCCTCTTTGAAAGGTAAACTACGCGGGGTGCAGCAAGCACGTTCTGGACGTTACTTGGGGCACTGGGTAGTCGGCCGTGTTAGGCCGAGAGAGAGAGATTGAGAGAGAGTTGGAGAGAGAGTGGGAGAAGGAAACTTGATTGGAGAGAGACAGTGGTGGTGGTGGAGAGAGAGAGGAAGAAGTGAGCGCAGCACGCACACAAGCTTCATCGCACCAACCACGCCAAAAGGGTCCCCGTGACCGCACCGATGGTACCCTGCAACACACGAAATTCCCAACACGTATCCCCCTGGGATCCTCACGACCAGATACTGCTGCGAGTATATCTAACATCCCCCCTGCTCGCAACAGTTATTCACTGAAAACTTCGCGAACACTCGATATGTCAACCAAAATACATCTCTCCAAGAATATATGCCATCAATACTCGACCAGAATAACATAAGAGGGAAAAACAATTCAAAGGAACATGAATACTGCATCGCGCGTAACAAATACTTGGCGCGAGAAATGAAAGAAAACGGGAAACAAAACGAGAAACAAAACAAAACCAAAACACAACCAATCAGAAAAACAATAAAATGTTCATGCCAAATTCATTGCAAAATCACGGTGAGACTCGAAAGCGTCCTTCGGCAAGCTCTTCGTGAGAAAATCTGCACGCTGGTACGGAGACGGCACGTGGATCACCGAAATTTCCTTCCTCTCTACCAGTTCCCTGAGAAAATGGTGCCTTACATCTATGTGCTTCGAGTTCGAGTTTGAGATGGGGTTCTGCGCTAGTTGAATCGCCCCCTGGTTGTCCTCGAAGACGGGGATACACGGCATGCCGACCTGCGGCAACATGAAACGCCAAATCTGCCTCAAAAACAAAATCTCCTTCACTATGTCACCAAGCGCGACGTACTCTGCTTCTGTCGTCGAAAGCGTGACGCACTTTTGCGTTCTGGAAAACCAAGACACAGCGCCTCCTCCACACGTCACGATTCCCCCTGATACCGACCTACGGTCTGCTGCCTTGCTTGCAAAGTCCGCATCAGCGTACCCCTGCAAGCTGAATCCTTCTACTGTACCCCTCTGAAACGAAATACCAAAGTGACTCGTCCTCCTCGCATAGCCTAAAATATCCATCGCTGCATTCCAGTGTACCAGCTTCGGAGATGCGCAATACCTAGCTACTGCCCTTACAGCATTCGCAATGTCTGGCCTAGTTTGAGTCGCCAGCCACATCAACGATCCTACCAGCTCACGAAACGGAAAGTCTGTCGCCACCTCATCCGCATCAAAATCAGAAAGCTTCACCCCCGAAGACATCGGAACGCTCTTACCTCCCACTACTCCATATTCTGCTGCTAGCTCGTCCGCGAAAGTCTGCTGAGAAATCGTCAACCTTCCGGTCTCCTTGTTCCTCTCGTAAAAGCACCCAGAATACCATCTCAACTCTCCCAGGTTCTTCACTGGCACGGACTTGTTAAGGTCGGCGCCAAACTTATCACATCTCTCCCTCTCTCCCACAGCAAAAATGTCATCTACATACTACCAAAATCAAAACAACACATCCATCCTCAATCAAACGAAACACACAAGCATCGGCCATGCACTGCTCAAAACCTAACGCCACTAAACACCTCTTCAGCATTGCATGCCACTGCCTAGATGCCTGTCTCAAGCCATACAGACTCTTGCCTAGTTTTACAATCATTCCAGATAGAGCTCCACATCCCTGTGGCAAACGCATGTACACGTCTTCCTCCAACTCCGAGCGCACAAAAGCTTGCTCAATATCGAAATGACACAAGTCGAGATTTAACTCGCACGCCAACGCAGCCAACATCCTAACACACGAAACAGAAACGGTAGGCGCGTACAGCTCTCCAAAGTCAATGTACTCTCTCTGCATATCACCTCTCGCTACAAGTCTCGACTTCACCTTAGTGGGCCATCCAAATTCATCTGCCTTCCAATCGAATACCCACTTAGCGTTAATTGCGTTCTCCACTAGTTGCTACTTCGCCGGAGTAAAAGTCCCTGCTTCCAACAAGCCGTAAAACTCCCTTTTCATAGAGTCGCTCCAAAGGTGCCGGTGCTCCGACGCCATGGCCTCTTTGTAGCTCTTGGGGACACGAAGGTCGCTGGCCTGGCAGTGAGGAAGGTCAGGGCGTTGCTCCGGCGGGCGCTGGTCTCGCAGCGTGGCGTCGATGTCTTCCCGGTTGGCGAGGAGCGTGGCAAATGCGAGTGGAAAGCCCGCTCCTCCAGCCCCCGGGTCCACCGCTGCGAGTGCTCCCGCCTGTTCTCCGGCCCCCGCTCCCCCCGGCTCTCCGGCCTCCGCCCCCCCCAGCTCCCTGCGCTCCTCATCCACCGCGCTCCGAGCCTCCAGCATCGACACCAGAGTGTTCTTGTCTAGCATCGAGATGAGTCCTGTGCTGTGCCTCGTGCCCGATCTCGTTCGGCTTGGCAGCCGCGGGTCTATCATACCCTCGGCCTTTGTACCCGGGCGAAGCTGCCGCATGGCGTGAGCCGTAAGCGGGGGCATCGCGGGGTCCGGCGGCGGCGGCTGGTCTGGATCGAGGGTCGCCAACGGTGACGGCGAAGAGGCAGAAGACGGCTGGCCAGGGGCGGGGGTCGCCGACGGTGGCGGCGAAGTGGCAGAGGGCGGCTGTGAAGGCGTGGGAGCGGACGGCGGCGTGGTCGCTGGCGGCGGCGTTGCGGCAGGTGGCGTTGCGGCAGTCGAAGGCGTCGGTGCTGGGCCAAAGTTGATCGAGACGACCGGCGGCGTGAACGGGGGGGGTGTCGGTGCAGCGGTGATACCAGCGGAACCCCCCTCGCCGGCTGGCGCCGACGTCACCCACGACACGTTGTTGGTGTAGACGACGCGACCGGTGGACGCCTTGAGGACCTTGACGGTGCCGCTCGGGTGGTTGTCGCCGCCGTTCAGGTAGAAGCAGAGGGTGGCCTGGTCGTCGAGCTTGATGCGGCGATCCTCGCGCATGAAGCCGGGCTGGAAGAACGGCAGCACGCGGAATGGCCCTTGCTCGCCGGTGAACATCTCGTGCGGCGAGCGCCGCCCGGGGTTGGCCTTGGTCGCCGACTGGTTAAGAGCGTCGGCGGCCCACTTCGCCGATTCCATCCAAAGACGGTCACCGCGCTCGTCGAGGCCGGGGATGGAGGCGAAGTCGACGTTGAACACACGGCCAGCGCTGCGGCGGGCGGCCATGCCGGCCTTCATAATCCGCCAGATGGCGCTCTCGACGACGCCGTTGTACTTCGGAGTGCCAGGCGGGGTGAACTCGACGCCGATGCCGTTGTCGTCGCAGAATTGCCGGAAGTCGCCACGGGTCCACTCGGTGCCGTTGTCGACGCGGAAACACTCGATGCGCCCGAGGTCGTACCGCCCCACGTCCGCCAGCAGCCTTTTCGTTGCCGCCAGCGCGTCGGACTTCCGCCGGAGACCGTAGACCTTGTTCCACCGCGAGGCGCTGTCGACGGCGACGAACAGGTAGAGGTTGCCGCCCAGGGAAGGCACCAGCGGTCCACACAAGTCCAGGTGAACACGCCCGAGTGGCTTGGACGCCCGCGCTCCCGGCCCCCGCGGCACCGACCCTCGCCTGCCCTTCGCCTTCATGCAGTCCGTGCACGGTTCCAGCTTGCCGGTGAGCACGATGCCTCTCTGCTGGGCGGTTTCTCTCAAAAGGGGCTCGCAAGCGTGGGCAAGGGAGCGGTGGAAGTGGTTGATGTCAACGGACTTTTCAGTCGAACCAAGAGCAAACGGGGACGCACCAGGGCCAAGCGCGGCCGCACCGAAGTCAAAATCAGCACCCCCATCAATGCTATCCAAAACAGCAGCTACATTCGCAGCATCAGTCTCAGGGATAAACGCGGGGAAAAACTCTTGATACGGGGTGTCATCATAGCCATCCATGAGCTGCTCGTCGGTGAGCACACTCGTGTCTCCAAGATCCATACCCGGAAAAGTACCCACACAAACAAACTCGGACGCCGAAGAAGGTACTACGCCGGCAGAGCCGGCGGGCGGGACGCTCTCACTCGCAGGTACTACACTGGTGGGACCAGTGGGCGTGATGCTATCAGTCGAAGGTACTACGCTGGTGGGACCAGCGGGCGTGACGCTCTCACTCGAAGGTACTACGCTAGCAGAGCCAGCGGGAGGGAAACGCAACACGGACACCAATGATTCCGCGGAGCCCCCTTTTTGGGAAGGGGAACGCGTGGAGCCAACGGCGGGGGCGGAATCGGGGGCAGTCACGAATGCAGGCAAAGCAGAGGAGTCTACTCTAGTTGCAGATGGGTCGTACGGTAAGCGCATGGCATATGCTGCAGACGCTTTTTCCTCCCTAGCAAATAGCAGTCCATTTTGGAGGGTTGCACCACGCTCGTCGTGCAGGATTTGTTGCTTTCGAGAAACTGCATGCGTTGAAAACAAATTGAAGCTCAGGTTCTCTACTACAGACACGTCAGTCAGCTTAACACACATCGTCGTTTTTTCACCGTTCTCATCCTCCTGAAAGAAACTAAGGTTGATGCTACCGATAGCTTGCACTTCTAGCAGTCGACCATCACCTACGACGACATACTTCCTATTTGCGGGGATCTCCTGCAGATCGTACATGTGTAGACTACTGTTGGTAAAACTGTTGCTTGCACCTGAATCAGCTACCCATCTCTCGCTACCAGGCGGCCCCTCACTAGATTCCACACTCAGCAAAGACGAAGCAGACGCAGCAGACTCAACTCCAATCGTCACTCCTATCCTACCAAAAAATATTTCGGGGTGAGACTTGCCTAGGGGCACCGATTGTGCCGTGCAGAGGTGGAGGTAGCCCGAAGATGGAGGCGCGCCAGGAGAAGGGGCAGAGGACGAGGAGGAAGCGGTGCTGCTGCTGCCCGCGGGGGGGGGCTGACGTGGCTGCTCGGATGATGAATCTTGACCGGCGGGAGGGTAGTAGACGTAGTGGATCCCGCCGTCAGATGAACGGCTGTCTTCGTACCCGGAGGAGTAGCTGTAGCTGTCCCCGCCGCCGGCGTAGTGGGCGTACCCGGCGTCGTGGTAGCTGTCGTCGTAGGAGTAGCCTTCGTCGTAGTCGCCGTAATCTTCGTAGTAGCCACCATCATCGTGGGCGTAGTACACAACGTACGCCTGCTCTCTTCCGTGGCCAGAACGCGCGTGCCCCGGGCCTCTCCCTGCCCGATCTCTCTCGGCACGCCCGTCGCTGCTGTGGCGTCCCGCGGGCCCACGACCCCCCGGGTGACGCCCCAGACGACCACCAGGCCCACGTCCACGAAGAGGTCGCGGGGGGGGTGAGGCTTGGCTCCAGCCACCGCCACCATGACCGGTGTGGTGCTGCTGCTCTATCCTCACCCATCGCCCGCCACCGCGGCCGGGTCCCGGCGGCGGTCTACCCCCTCGCTGGCTACCGCCGCCACCGCGGCTGCCGCCGCCCGAGCGACGTTCCTCGGCGCCCTCTCTCGAACGCGCACGCCGCAGTTGCTGCTGGAGACGACACTGCTCGTTGGTGTGAAGCTCGGACTGGTGGTAGCGGCAAAATCCGCCGGGGTCGTCGTTGAACACGTCACTATTTTTCTTCTCTCCGTCACGATTTTGGCCGCCAGCTGCTGCCTGACCGCCGTCTTGACCCCAGGATGCCCCCCCACTGCCCCCGTCGCGCCGGCTCATGCCGGATGCGGCGAGAGCGAGCTCCACCTCGCGCCTCTCCCCCTTGCTCCTCTCGCGCTCCATCTCCACGTGGGCGTCCCTCACCACAGTCTCAAGGGTACGCAACGTCAGGACATCATGGGCAAGCAGTATTCCTTTTTGCACGGCATACAACGAAGAGGGAAGGCCACGAGCAATGTCTTTGTTGGCATCTGTTTCATCCTTAATCGTGCCTACTGATGCGAGACGCAGGCGAAGGGCCTCTGAGCGGGCAATGTAATCCTGTGGACTCTCGGACTCCTTCATCTCCAACTCCTTCCAGTCCTGCTCCAACCTCGACTTTTCTGACTGCTTTTTCTCCTGATAGAACTCGGTCACTATTTTCCAGCCCTTTTGGGGACTCTCACACGCCAGAATCAAGCTCTGAATCGGGGGATACATAACCTTGCTTATGAGGATATTCCACAGTTTGAAAGACTTGTCTACCACTTCATTTCCAAAAAGTCTCCGAAGGTCTCCTACATTCACACCCCTCTTCCCGACCTTGACCTCGACCTCCAGTTCCAACGCATCATGCACACCCTCCTCCTGAAAATATGAAATCATCTTACCACGAAAAATATCAAACATAATGTACAAGTCCTGCTCCTTCTTTACACTACCAAGCCAAGGTTCGATTTCTGAGCCTGGATTGACACGTAACGCGCCTGAGCGGGCAAAGCCCTGTTGTTGAGCGATGGCCTCAGCTGTCGCCTTGGCCGCTTGCGCCACGATGTGTGCGACGCTGCTGGGGTCGTTGAATGTGGCTGGTGTACCCTGGCTGGAGGTTGGGCAATGGTGACTTCACCCTCGTTGATCCTGTTGGCTTCGAGTTCGGCTTGCACTCGTTGCTGGACGATCTCCTCCACTTTTTGTTGTAGCTCTTCCCCGCTGAGGGCGGAGAGGTCGATGTCCTCCATGGTGTTTGGTGTTGTGGGAGTCTACCGATTGCGCGTGACTGCACAACCCCCGGATGGCTACGCCCGCGCGCAGATACCGTGATATCGCACTAGTGTGAAAGGTAAACTACGCGGGGTGCAGCAAGCACGTTCTGGACGTTACTTGGGGCACTGGGTAGTCGGCCGTGTTAGGCCGAGAGAGAGAGATTGAGAGAGAGTTGGAGAGAGAGTGGGAGAAGGAAACTTGATTGGAGAGAGACAGTGGTGGTGGTGGAGAGAGAGAGGAAGAAGTGAGCGCAGCACGCACGCAAGCTTCATCGCACCAACCACGCCAAAAGGGTCCCCGTGACCGCACCGATGGTACCCTGCAACACACGAAATTCCCAACACGTATCCCCCTGGGATCCTCACGACCAGATACTGCTGCGAGTATATCTAACACTCTTTTTTCAGTTTTCCACGATAACGCATTTTGATTTTGATTTTGCGCCCATTTGGATTTTGATTTTCGGCAGTTCGTTAATACACGCCCTAATAATCCACCTTATTTTTGCGTGCGCGGGACTGTCACCTTGTTTTTTCTTCCCTACCCCGTCTCTTCTCTTCTCTTCTCTTCACGGAGCCTCTTCTGGGATTTGGGAAAAATAATTACACACACACACACCCATTCGAGATATACCCACAGTCGAACTGGATGTGGTGGAGTCTTTTCAGTGAAAGGAGGAAAACCGGCTGGGTACTGGACTTATTTCGAGTCTTTTTAAGTCTATACACTGATGATTTATATTAGGGATGTATTGCAGTGTCGTGTATATTGACAAATAAATGTAACGTAACCTTCACAGGGGGACACGGCGCAGTGTCTATTGACAGCTTACTGGTGGTTTCTTAGATATAGCAATAATAATATTGACGTGTTTGCGCATACAACGAAATTTGCTATACTTTCTGTTAAAAACAAAGTCTTTCCACCGTGCGCAAAAAAAAAAAACGGAAGACTAACGATGATCCGATGATCCGCATTTGGCCGTGTAATCTCGCCACGCACATACATGCAGCCGTGGAGTTCGAAGGGGTCAGGAAAGATCTGCACATACATGTGCACCTAATTTGAAAATTGAAGCGATAGTCACACCACGCCCTGTCCTCCGAGACGTCGGTGATGCACAAATCCCTCCCCCTCACTGTCCTGATGACCATGCGATCTACCCGTACTGTCTCCACCTACCTGCAGCGCTATGAGCGCAGCGCACAACTCGAGCTCTTCCGTTTCGTGCTCATCTTCTTCCTCGCTGCCAACCAACAGCAGGACAGCTGCGCACAAGAGGCAAAGCTGCTCATGCATCATCAGTTCTCCGGTGCTCATGGCGCCGTAGCGGCGTTTAAGGTTGACATCCCGGATCGGCCTCCTGGTTCTATCCATGGCTTGTGTAAGGGGGCATGGGGCGGGCACTGGCTGCGCGTCTCGTAGCCCGCTGCCGTCTCGTGCCACAACGGCGCAGCAAGCGGCCCAAACTGACGTGGACCAACCAGCGCTCGTGGTCGTTCGGGCGGCAAAATTTGCTTCAAATTTCTCTAAATGGCGAAATCTCAAGACATATTTAGGCAGAAGTCGCGTCGGAGGAACTTTAGATACCCCGAACTGGTCGTTACGAGCCAAATTTTGTTCTGCGCAAACACGTCATTGTAAAAATCATGGAAGATGGAACGAAGGCTACAGCAGTGGGTACAAGAAAAAATTTGTTGACGCCGCTGGGTACACCCACCGCGATGTCGGACAGAGTGGGCACTCTGGTGAGGCCTTGCGCGCCTCGGCGGTATTAGGGCCGAAGGTGTACCTGAAAGTGGAAAAAAATGATGCCCGTGTGTATGGTCCCTTGCTGTGTCGCCCAGGTGTCAGAATGGGGTTTTGAGTCCTTTGGGGGTCGCCTATTGGAGGGCGCGCGCGCCGGATTTTCGAGTACGCACTTTTGTCCGAGAATGGCGTGGGTATACCCACTTTTGTCCATTTCCCTTTTGCAAAATATATCTCAAAATCAGGAACGTTCATTGTTCTTCGCATAAATATCCGTTCCGATCTCTCTACCCGTACCTTCATCTCTCTGTACTGATCTATCTATGAAACAAATCACGACGTCGATTCTCGTGGGCACAGGATAACTTACCCCAAAAAGAGGAATACTCAAATTAAAGGGACCCGAAGGGTGCGCAAGCCAATTGAAACGAAGAAACGAACCTACATTTCAGCCAATGCCGAGCATGGCCATCCGTAAGGTGTTGATACGAACGGTGCATTCACGACACTCACATCGCATCCTCGTTGTATTTTGTCAAGCGACGCTTCCTGGGGTGGCCTCAGCGGCGTCGCGACCACAGGGAGGGCAGCCCCGACAGCAACGCCGGCACCGATGGCTAGCCAGACCCCTACGTGAAGTCCCTTCCTCTTGCGTCCTCCGTCGCCGCCCGTCGGAGAAGAAGAAGAAGACTCCGTTGATGATGCAACCGCTGTCTCGCCCTCCTCATCCTTCGTTTCCTCGATCAAACCCGCTACATCAGCCTCATCTGGCCCTCCCACTACGCTCCCATCGCTTGCGATATCCACCTCGGCTGCGGTGACAGGTTCAGAGGCCCTGGGGTCCTCCTCGTCATTCCCTCCCATTGGCGTGCTCGACTGAGCAGGTATCTTGGCCGCACTGTTGGCATCGTTCTGCGATACATGCACGTCCATGTAGTCGGAAAAGGTTGGGACAACGGGGAGTCGGAACGGGGACAAGGGTTCAGCTATGCAATGAAATGACCAAGGGTAGTCTATAGAATGAACACCCGGACGCACCGACTGCTACGTAGTAATGATCCGCCGTTGTTGGTCGATGTGCAAGCTATTGTATGTACACTCTTATACAACCCATTTTTTCTCGTCAATTGAACTGCTGTGCAAATGCTTCCAACGAAGAGTTCGGACTCAATCATCGGGGCACAGCGTAGATTGGTTATTGTATAGATATGTTTCACGTGACGTTGGGTGTACATGACGTATGGTTTCCATCCGCAGGCCCATCTGAGTGTGGATATACGCACCTCTGAAGTCAGCGAAGGGGTTGTGTGCCGGAGGATGGTACCTCGTCCTGTCTGAATCGTCTCGACGTGGAAGCGGGCCTGAACTGACGCTCCTCCGCTCTCGGAGGCACCTGTTTTTGCCATTAGCAGGGTTGGAGAGGGTGAAAGTCGGCCAGATCGTTGGCACAAAGATGGGATAAAATATTCTGCCGATACTACCTAAGTGACAGTGAAAGGGAAGATTCATTCACGAGATGCGTATTGACCTTGATCGTCACCAAAATGTGTCACGCGTAGTCCCCTCACAGGACATTCTTGCTATTAGTATGTGCCCCCTCTCCTCTCTTCGCCGATCATACACATGCCATCTATCGCAACACTGATAGCAATTCAGATTCCGTTCTCACCGTGGTTGCTCGTAGACGGACATCACCGTTGTTCCGGGATGATCGGTTGAGATTGCGCATTCAAGCCGCTCGCAGCTTGAGGAGACCTGTACACGGCGTCGATTTCCTCGTTCGTGGGTGTCGTCCTCGATGCCATGGTGACGTGGTGGGTGTTGTGCTTCACAATAGATGATATGAAAAGCTAGGTGTTCCTCGAACAGGTTGTCTTGAAAACGATGGCGGAAAGGATTGTGAGCAGTGTGGGATGGGGCGGGTTGGGAGAGCTTCTGGCTCGGCATGACATACATGGCGCTTTCTGCCATACGGTTGTTGTTGAACCGACAACGAGACCGTTGTAGATAATCAAATTTGTGTCGAACACCTGACAGTCCTCCCCTCCCCGTGCATGGGGTATATGTATGAAATGAGTCACTAGCGCGGAGAAGCTTCGTTCAGTTGCACCCCCCCAAGTTTGATCCCAATCACGGGCACCATGCTTGTCTAAATATTGTTGCTTTGATTATGCGGGGACTCGATGCACCCGAGGGTCTGTATCACGGGCGGGACGACTTTTCACGTATGCCGCATTTCGGTCCAGCACACAAGACACATGCGTTCGTATCCGAACGAGGATAAGAATAGTGAGTGAATTGTCGCACCTCTCTCGCGACTCAGACCCACGGCATCGCGGTCTCGGCACGCATCGGCGTATTGACGCCCACCCCTGTGCGATCCGAATCGGAGAGCGAAGCATTCCCAAAGACGACCCACTCCATGCGGGGGCTGCGAACTGGACACGTGTAGCTATCCCCGGAGACCGAAGACCCTGATGAAGACTCACTGACGTGTTGATTCCTCTCTTTGGCAGCAGTACAAACATGCTGTTGTCTTGCTCTCTTTCTCGTAGAGAGAGAGAATGGCTGGCCAGCTTACTAAAGAGACCATAAAAGGTCCCCTTCTTTATCCTTCAATCGGATTTTGCATCTCCCGCACATTCCTTTCGCGAAACAGGCCGCAATACCGTTGATGCTTCCTATAGTCAAACCCGAATAACTGGCAGGCAGATTTACAGAGATCCCCGTGCTTTGAGCTGAGGCGTGTGCGCTGTGGCGGGGGAACATGCCAGAGATCCCAGGGTGATACACTGAAGGGTTCTCTCCCTCTCGCTGAGGCCGCTGCTTGTCTCTCTGCGTATGGAGATGTCATCTGGGTCTCGAGACCACCGAGAGGTGGCCGACACCAACGTTCCGAAAGAGGGAGTTTTCGGTGGAAACAGGCAAGTAAGGCTGACCTGACATGATAGAGACGACCAGCAATGGAAACGTAAACGTTCGCTTGCCACGCGACAACGTGCATGCATGCGACTGCGGGGGGGGTGAGCGTTCGAAAAACATCGAAACTTGAGGTCAAGGGCTAGTTGCGAAAATAGCAAGAGCGTGTAGCAGCACTTCGGCCAAGGCATGCGATAGCGGCTCTTGCAGAAAGTTGGACCATCGAAACACGAAGAAAAAACATAGATGGGGAGTTAACGGCGCACACAGGGGGGGGGGCATGGGCACCACAACTAAGAGCTGGTCGCGTTGAAAAGCAAGAAATGAAGCGACAAAACTCTGCAAACGACCGAAGTGTGATCATCGCCGGCGGAGAACCAGCGACTCCCAGGGCTGTCTTCGGAAGATTATCACGCATACCCAATGAACCTGGACCGCTACATTGCCCACCTGTCGACCGTCAGACCGAGTGGCCAGAGAAACATGGCATTTGCTTACTTTCGCGAGCTTGTGTGCACACGATTCGCTTCGGAAGGCCTGTCGGAGGATTTGTCTTCCTGGAAACGAAAGTGCTCACATCTAGAGACCAACTGATTACGTTACACACATCCATTGCGTAGCGCATAGAGGGGTTGCTTGGCGCGCGAGCGGAAACACGATACCGGTAGGTTACAGCAGCGCTACGTCAGATCCTCCTCTGGCGGCAGTAGTGTACCGTGTCGGGAAAAGCGGACGATATGTGCCGCCATAATGGCGCCCTCATCACGTTCACTCAAAATTGAAGTTTGTCACAAGGCATGGCGATCACGATTTCGGAGGAACACGGCGAAAATCGCGGGGCAGGCTGCTGGCAGCAGCATCTTCACACACACCCTGCGAAATTCACTGCAAGATGCAATGTATCCATCCTGGTGGCACCGCAAGGTGTGTGTGCGACGCGAACATCGTTCGAAACACGAATATATTGTGGCTTCAAGAACAACAGCATTCGGCCCAAAAATCACACTTTGGACAAACGAGATCCGGACGAAGCCCTCAACTATGGTAGCGCGATGCTTCCTTTCGGCATCCCTAGCAGTGAAACACATACCCTTGTTGCCTATGGCATAACAATTGCGCAACAACACGGCCCACACAATTGCCAACACGATACATGAATATCCTAGCACAAACGTGAAAACTTCCCAATCGACACACAAATTCGGCCGCAAAACAAAGCTGGCCACTTCCGCGCCAAGACTTTTAGCATCGCACATGCACTACCATCACTCAAAGGAGAGGGCTGTGCCAATGCCCGACACACATCATGCTGCATCAAACCAACCACGACCAATTGCCGTGCATGTGGTGGCACACGAACGCCACCCTGCGCGCACGGACCCAACACAAAAGTATCTCCTGATAAGCCCCTGCGTGCCTCATCTCCGACGTGCATCGGCCACGCCTTTCACCGACACTGCCGCGTTGAACAGCGCGTATGTACAGGTTTATACCCCCAGTACAGATATTCCATGGAACAGCGAAAGTGAAAGAAAGAAAAACGCCTTATTGCCGATCGAGCGAAGCGCAACGCCCAGGGAAATAAACTAGCTGAAACACCGGCAACGTCCTCCCGTGTGTGACCACGGGAAGCTCTTCCCGCGTGTGGCACCTACCCGGCACGCCTCTACGATACGTTCCTCGATACGTTCCTCGATACGTTCCTCGATACGTTCCTCGAGCGTCGTGTGTCGTCGCGCCACCTGCACACTTCTACTGTGCATTGCTCTTCCGGGCTACCTAAGCACCGGGCTACATAGGCACCTGCGCACGATACACCCGAGCAAACCGTCACCGTCACGTCGATGCCGCCGTCACCCATCGCGTTCATGACCATCATCACGCTCACGCTTCCGGCAAGTCTTCTTCGTCCACCACGGCAAAGTGGACGTCACTCTCCGGGTACGAGATGCACGTCAGCAGGAACCCCTATCGAGCAGCGTGGACGAAAATCGTAACAAAAGAACATCAACCCACGCAGGGTTTAGCACGGTTGTGGCAGGGAAGCACATACACCCGGCGAGGTAAAGAAAGAGAAAGGAAGAAAAGAGAAAAGCTCGCGCAGCGGGGACGATGAGGTGCGTGCCCACGAACAGAGAGCACTCGGAGAGATATCCAGATGTTGGACTCAAAACAAAACCGAGTTCGTCGAGGGCATGAGGATTGGTCGAGACCTTCCGCAACACTTGGCTGCGCCGCAAAACCGTGGTTACGCCAGCTGTAGGCAGCCGCTCAACAGCACTATGAATCCACCCAACAGCAGTCTGTACCGTAGTAAGCGTTCCAAAGCACAAATTGTATTGTCTACAGAGATCCGTGCCAAGACAACAAAATACAACACCTCCAATATTTTCCGGTGATTGTACAGCTAACCGGCTATCTTATCCCCCACACGCACCGAGACCAATTGTGTGGAAGGATAAAGTTGCATGCTCACCGCATCTTTCTGCTCGTCCTCCAAGACACCCTCGCTCTGATCCACGGAGCCGCTCACGATCTTGCCGGGACACGTGAGGCAGCTACCCGACATACACGAGCTCGGCAGCTCCAAGCCCGCATCCATGGCGGCTTCCAGTAGCGTCGTCTCCGCATCGCAGTTGACTTCATGGATGGCCCCCTCCCACTCGATTTTCACCTTCGAACACGTAGCACGGCGGAAATCAGGAAACCAGGGAGGAGACATGTTGGGTGTCGGTGTTAGCGTTCCGTTCAACTCCAGCCATCGAGCTTCTGGGGTTTAGAAAATAACTAGCACAGAACCTGTATCCAGTTCTTCATCGCGTGCATTCTTAGGAAAACGTACCACTGCGGTCACAGAAAATACCCCCACGTGATGAGCGTGGGACCAAGAACAAACCAGATGGGCCGTGTGCCGTGTAGCAAGTTTATAGGGCTGCGAGGCAGCAACGCTTCGATGGTCCCACACTCCGGAACGTCACACTTCCGCTTGGAGGCGGGGGGGGCGGCATGAAGCCACGCTTCCGCTCTGCACACCAGCATCTCCACGACCCTCCAGCATTTATCTGGACTTTCCCTGCAGCAAATCAGTCGTCCACGCCAGAAAGCCAACTTTTGTCACCACAAACACATTGGGGGTCTCACCTTGTAGCCTGACCCGGCGGGGGGAGCGTCAGCGGGGGGGGCTTCAGCCGGAGGAGCGGCCACCTCCGGCACTGCCGCGGGCGGAGCGGCGACTACCGCTGCCGGTGCCGTCGCTACTGGTGGTGCTTCTGCTACTGGTGCTGATGCTGCCTCGCCACCCGACTCCCGTAGCCACTGGTCGATGCGTTGTTGCGCCGCCGACGTGCTGGACAGAGGGTAGTTCAGGGAGTGACAAGAGCGGCCGTCGTACAGCAGGGGGGCGATAAAAGCTGAGTTCTCGTACGCGATTGTAGTCTGCTGCAACTACGTGATGTGCCAGGGATGCCTCATGGGCGGTAATACCCCGCCTCCGTGACCAAATGGTACCCTCGAACCCTCCGAACGGCGAAAAAAATGGGCTTGTTGCTACCCGGTGGCGTCCGGGGCGTCCGCGTGGAAACCATGGAACCCCGCTAATGTGTCGTAGGTGACACCATATACCACACCCCGCGTGGACTGAGTTTTAAAAGCTCCATGTCTCGACAGCAGAAAGCACGGCGGTGCCAAAAATGGCAGCGCCGGGAATGTCTCGTCGAGATCTTTCCGAAAAAAAGTATCGTTTGATTCATTCATCCTCTTCGTCATGGAGTAATGCAGCTGTGGAAATCGATGCAGGGGGTGTGATATCTTACGTCACCTACCGTACATCCCCCTCCCGCGCGCCCCGGGTCGGACCAAAAAAAATCATGTCAATTGCACGCCCTAAACTGGGACAAAGTCAACGTCCCCCCTCCGCTCCTCGTCAACCAGAACAAGACGTAACGTGTGGGGTTGGTCTACGGTGTCAACGAAAATGGCCCATCAACTCGTGGGGTGTGCAATCGCGCGCAAGGGGGAACCACAAACGCTTCTCGCGGGACGTTGCCCGTGTGTTTCTCTCCGCTGTCCGGATATTTCCCGGAAGATTGCCCCGCACTGCCATTAGGGAGCTAGAAGGAGGACGACAGCTCACATGGAGAGCATCGACGACCTTCCTTCCTTCCGTTAGTAGAGTAGGCACGCACTGCTGTCGTGGGTACACTTGTGCCAGGTAGGCAAGCACTGCAATTGTTATGGGCATTCTCGCACACGGGCTGCTGACCTGCGGGGTGTACACGCCCCGCACAATACGTTCGTTCCTCTTTCCTTGTCACGAAAACAGCATACACCCTACTTTTTGCACGAAAAACAGTACCAGCTTTGATGGCGCCGGTCCGCTAGAACGACAACACAGCGACACCTTCCGCGGAACACTGCGTGTGCTACACCATGCCTGGCCAAACCCCCGGAGAGACAGATGGCGAACGCAAGACAGCAAACATGATCACAGCAAGGAGAATCTGCGTACCCGCCGCCGCACTGCCCCGGTCTGTCCGTACCTGACGAGAGGCGTCGACCCGCCCTTAGCCTTGGTAGACACCACAGGCAACGCCGACCCACCGTCCACGACCCCGCCGTTGATCGCCTTGGCAGCACCCGCGTTCCCCCCTGGCTCCGCCGCGAGCTGCGCCACCATCGCCGTCAACTCTTCCACCTGCCCCGCTAACTTGCTGACTGCGACCTGCAGTTCCTGATCACTGCCGCTACCTTGCTGCATGCGGACGGCAGAAGCCGCCCCCCCTCCGCCGCAACGGCGACGCGTTCCCGCTGCCGACGGTGGCAACGGAGCTTGCTGGCGCCATGCAGTCGTCGTTCCAGCTGGAGGCGGGACGAACGCCCCGCAGAGACCGCACCATGCTAGCGCACAAGCCAGGGTCAAGAGCGGCGACGTTGCGTGCCGCCGTTTCATGACACGGGCCTGTCTGTATCTTCCCCTCTCTCTCTCTCTCTCTCTCTCTCTCTCTCTCTCTTGAGTCAGGAGCGAAGAGTGCACAGGGCACTGAATCAAGGCCTAATCGCTCCCTCGTCTGCCCGGGGTGAGAGCTCTTGTGGGAGGTATGGTGTATGGTTCGTAAATGCGACTGCACACACTTGCACAGCCAGCCCAGGGGGCCAAACCAATTTCAAGGTATTATTTGGCCGTATCACATACCCGCAGAGCTTCATCTGCAACACCCGGTGCCCCTAAACACTAACAACACCTTTGTTTAGCAACTCAGCTGCCACCACAGCTGTGCTGTCGTTGCGAAACATGCTGTTCTGTCCGACAGATGGGAGCCTGCTCATGGTTGAGAGTGGACCCCAGGGCTGGACGAGATTCTGCTGCCAGACGTGTCCGTACATCCACCCCATGGAGCCGTCGGACAAAATCACGCGAAAGGTATGCTAAGCTGATACCACACAGCAGCAATAGTCTGCAAGTTCTACGCGATCTACGATCGGTTGGAGGCTGTGGTCTGTCAGCGCGGGAAGGCAAGATGAGGCAAGGTTCCTGTGCCTTACGTGTTTTCGACAACACCGAACAACACCGAACCATTCCAAATTTGGAGCACGAGGCTGCCAGAGATGTCGCTCCTCCATTCAAACTGCAATGTCGGAAGGGGGCATGTGTACAGGACGAAGCAACTACTGCTGTACTACCAGGCAAAGTAGACTCCTGAATGTACCTGCTGTGCACATGCTGCTGTACAGCAGTAGACTCTTAGGGATATATGAGACCGGGCACGTGCTCGATGCTTCTCTACAACCAGCAACCCTTCGGTTTGTGGAGTATGAACAAGATCGAAACGGACAACGTTACATCTTTCCTTCCGCCACTCAAGTACTGGGCATTGACGACTTTTGCGGGGACACTTGCTACATGTACCGCAACTGTTGCTGCAAGACTGCTAATGTTGGGCACAACTACTCGACTGCTGTAGCACTTTGTTACCTTTTGTGATCGTGTTGAAATACATTAAAACCTGTTTGCAAATTTATCGCGACACAGGGCCATGCCCAGTATCTGCACGTTTCCCGTGCGTGTTGGTGTTGGCGTTTAGTTGCAAGGTCTGTTTGCTTGTTCGTTAGTGGTCTCTCCACCGTGTGCCTCGTTCTGCCTCTTACTTCTTGTTATTTTCGGCCTGGTCCCTTTTTGTCCTCGCTCTTTTTCGTTTTAGTTTCATTTTATTTCCTCTTCTTCTTACTGTTTCCATTTGTTTTCTTTTTTCTCTTTTTTCTCTTTTTCTCTCTTTTTTTTCTCTCTTTTTTCTCTCTTTTTCTGTGCCAGATGGCCTTGTCTCTGCTTGCATTGTGAAGTACCAAGATTGAACCAAGGGGATGTACCTCTTTCTCTCCGGCCCATGATAGATAGTGACTCCTAGTCTCAGTTGATACCTCGCATAGCGCGCAGAGGGAGTGGAGGATTCCAGAATATCTGTCGTTGATTTCTATTGACTTGCGGACCCCTCGGGGCCAGTTTATTTGAGTGCACCTTTTTAGGGTAAGTTAACCTGTGACCACGGGAATCGACCGCGTCGAGTGTTGAATCAGTTGTACGGACATACGAAGGTACTGGGTAGAGAGAGATCGGAACGGTTTTTAATGTGAAGACAACAACAACAACAACAACAACAACAACAACCTGTCTGTTGCCCTCTGGAGCAAAGACTTGTTTGTCGTACTTTTTAGTCCAATCACACACACATCACCCCAGGCAGGGTGCGTGAATTGTCTTCCCGATTTGCACCCCGAACCTACCGTGGTTGTTACAGATCGCGCTGAAGAAAAAAGCGGTGGATGACATCATGGGAGGAGATGACGCGTGGGCAAACGTGGACAAGACCCAGGTAAAGACGGCATCCACCTGGGGTAACGACCCAGAAATTCGTTTCGTCATCATTGATCCACCGACATGACATCCAACCTCGTTGTCAGAAATCTTGTTCGGTGTCATCCTTGTTTGCTTCGCGTTGAAAATGGTTCCCGACCATCTTTCCCCGATATCGCCATCTTGCGGTGACTTGCTATCACCTTTTGTTCAGGCACCGACTGGTCTGTCTGCAAGAGCCAAAGCAGGTACTTGTACCGTGGGCAAACGAAAACACCGCGCGCTGCCACCAAACCACCGTTGTGTCCCGACCTCTTCCTCATCTCTCTCTCTCTCTCTCCCCACCCCCCCCCCTCTCTCTCTCGCTCTCGCTCTCGCGCTCTCTCTCTCTTCTGTTCGTGTACAATGCTGTCGACTTGGCGTTGTTTATCTCGTGGCCGAATTGTCTTCTTATCTGCGGCGTGCAGACGACGTGCCCATTCTGTAACAACAAGGAGGCGTTCTTCTTGATGGTGCAGCTGCGCTCCGCGGACGAGCCCATGACCTGCTTCTACAAGTGCACGAACTGTAAACAGCGGTGGAAGGAATGAAACGTAGATTGTGCCGCTGCCGACGAGCAGCCCGTTTTTGCCCGTCTCCGTCCTTGTCCTATTTACCTGTGTGAACTCTGTCGGTGTTTTCTTGTAGGTGAAGTCGCCGGGTGTCTGTCTGATGCCAAGGTTTTCTTCGTCTTCGTGTGTTTTCGGTGTGTGTGTTTGTTCTTCGTAGGAGTCGGGCACGGTATAGTATAGCCCGACAAATTGTCCCGTGACGAAGGGTGTTTGCATCGCGCCTTCGTCTGACTATTGGTTCGCCTGGCCTAGACGGCAGGATACCAGAACTCCGTGTGATCGGTGTTGTTTACTTTGCTTTGCTGCTGCGGATGTGTTGCAGCTGCAGCAGCACACGTGCTGCTGTCTTGCGGTGCCTTAGTGCTTCAAACGATAGGGTTAACTGTGCGCTGCTGCGCTCTTCGCAGCTGTTTCTACTCGCCCTGCTGTTTTAGCATGTTTCCGATTTTTGCCTCGATCGTGTCTCGTCTTGTGTAATGTTTGCCCCTGGCAAAGTTGGCCGATAGGGCTTGGCTCTGCAGGCCGTGTTTACCTAGGTTTCCTTTGTTTTATTTTTTCTTTTGTTTGTGACCACAGATGGCGTCCGCGTCAATTGGACCTCGACTGAGCCAGAGACCTCAACAGTGTTGAATATTAAGACATGAACAACAACGACGGTTGGACAAGCACGGCGTTCATGATAAGATTCCACCGTGCCATACCCCTCCACGGCTCTCCAAGATGGTGCCCTCTGTTTTTCGGCAGCCAGTGTAGAACATGATGAGTGAATAGTGAATAACGGCCAATCTTGGAAAGGCATTTTCGTTAGGAACGGTGTGACTCGGAACGGTTAGAGCTCGTGCGCTCGCATCGCATTTCCCCGTCTTGGAATTTCTTTTGCGAAACACTTGCCGGCGAGTTTCAGCTTCAAAATTTTCAGAAACTTGGAAACTTTTGGTCGGAGTACGTGCTGCTGTAGGAGGCAGTCTTGGCTATAGCGAGTCTCGGTTTCTGGAGCCGGCCACCAAGCTGCTCATGATGTACACCGGTTAGGGCGCAGATCGCGTGTATCACGCCTTAAGAACACCCTTGCGATGCAATCCACATCTGAGACCGAGGGTTTTCATCCTCTGTGTGCACCGTACGGCTGCCAGAAAACTAATGCCGTAGGGATGACGTGTGGCGCCCCTGTGGAATGCGGTTGTGCCGACCCGGCAGGGGGTACGGTCCGACACAATGAACGTTGGCATGTGTATTCACGACGTGATGCAAACTGAGTTGGCTTGGCAATCTCAGGACGAGCCCGTCCACATTCCTGCCGATTGAGCAGCCAAACCCTCTCATTCGTTCAGCAACATTCGATCATGCCCCGCAGCTTGAGCAAGTTCACCCCCAACCGATATCCAACGTTTTCTCGACCAAAATCGTCCGATTGTTGTTGTTCATGTCATGTGGCTGGAGTGCGGAGCTCTCGCCGGCAGCACTCGTACGGGCAATATCTACGTGCTGAGAAAATATAAGCGCCTCGTATGCATAATGAATACAGCGAATATTCAACATCACCAAAACAACACACTATTCTCGCACCAACGACTTCAGCGCTCGTGAGACTGGCGTAACAACTACTACCAGGTACATGTCACGAGGGGAACGTTCAAGCACGAGTCAAATACCTATCGCCCAACCTTTTCTCCGCGAGTTTTGGGCGGTGCATCTGTATCCTGCCCGCGCGTTACAGCAGGAGGGAGACCAAAAATGCATGAAGAAGAACCAAACCATACCCCCGCCGCTAATGCTCATGATGCTTCTCTGTAGACGTCTGTCTGAACTATCGTTCCGACAACTCTCTCTTCAAACGGGAACGACAACAGCAACACATTTTTCTATACACGTACGCCTCGACACATCTCAGCGTTGGTCGTCCACACACATAACACTCGTCGCTCATTTCTCTTACAACGATCAACTTAACGAGAGTAAGACGAGTGGCCGTCCCCCCGCGAAGACAAGAGTGAAAGTCCAAGTTTCAACGTCACGCTAGGCTGATGTGTGTGTCAGCGTCGCCACCGGCGTCGCCAATTGATTCCTCCTTGCCACCGGTCGAAGCGGCGGCGTGGCGTTCCCTTTCCCCCTCCCCTGTCCCGGTGTTGCTTCTGGTAGAGCTAGTAAAGTCGATCGGGATGTCGATTGGCTCCGCAGGTGGTTCCGGGGCTAGCTTAGGCAGCACGAGCGTGAGAACGCCGTCCTCCAGGCCACCACGGATGACGGACACGTCGATATCTTCTCCGACCCGGAACGACAGCTTGAAGCTCTCCTCCGAAAAGGAAGACAGAGAAGGTTCAGGCGTGTCCTTGGCTGCCTCATGAGGCGCGGCAGCATCCGCCGCACCCGTGGTGGATGCCGCGCTGCTGCCATCGGTAGACCCTGACGTGTCAGGCGGCGACGACGGTGACCTGGCGTCACCGTCGGCCTGACGTGGCTTCTTTCTCACCGCCGTGATCGTGAGCGTCTTCGTGCCGGAGTCTTCGGAGACCTGTGCGTCGACGTCTTCCTTCTTGCACCCCGGAAGGTCTACGATGAGCGTGGCGGCGTCGGGGGTCTCCAGGACTTCGTAGGGCGGGCTCCGCGCCTCGGTCGTAGGGTCCGAGAGCTCGCAAGCGACTGCGGACGGTGAGAGAGTGGGAACAAATACGGCGTGGGAGTTGGTGTTAGAGGTGGAATACTCGCATATAAGGGCTATGTCATAGAATAGATGGAAGATGCTCATCAGCTGTAGATTTACCGGTCCTTCCGAGAAGAGACCGAGAATTAGGCCCTTGAAACCCTCCTGCCCTATACTGGCCAGGGAGAGACACCTCGTAGGAAGGCGGCACTGCTGTCTTAAGATCTCTGTGTTGTAAACCTACTTTGCCTGCTTTCATATTACTTCGCGAAGACTTTCTCACGCTTGCAGAGCGCCGCGGGGTGGCCTAGACTACATGGTAACAGCGGACCAAACTATCAAGAGAACCCGATATCAAAGGGGTGTGAGGAAAGCTTCTTCACGTGTAATTTGTTTGGTTATGAGCAGCACTAGATTGATGTACGTAGTCTTCGTGGATCAGAGCGTCGAGCGGGGCTACAGTAGCCTTGAAGGCGAAAGCGAAACCAGACCATGAACTGACACTCCCCAGCTTCATGGAGGGGTTCCAGGAAAGAGGTACGCTCCTTACCGCTAGTTTGATATTCATGCATGCGAGTCGCTTTCAAATGATTATTATTCACGACTTGGCGCCCGAGGTGAGCGAAAAAGTTCACCGGGCTTCGCGATATTGCTACAGGGCTTTCCTAAGCTGCTCTTGGTTTTGCTCGTGTTGTTCGAGCCTTCTCTTCCTCCCGAGTGGCGAAAATTCTGTGGCAATGCTCCCTTTGTTTGAATTTGTTGTACAGTGTCAAAAGATACTTGTTTGGAATTTTCTGTTACCCCTCTAGGAACTCGCTCGTTGCAGGCATTAGTTCTAGACCACAATCGCGTCTGCTCATTGGGAGAGTCTGTCCCGAGGGACGAAGGCTGACTTGGTTATAGACAGAACAGTGTCCCCAAGTGCGCTGGGGACACTTTTCCATACGGACGCCAAGTCAGCAAAAATTTCCAGCTCTAGCAAGTTCTAGGCTATGCGGACGGTTACCAAGAAGGGGACACGCGCACGGACGTCACACAGCAGTACATCGCACAGCGCACCACCTCACACAAGTACGCTAGACCAATGTATCCAACCCGCATTTCACACAGCGGAGCCTACTCTGTGGTGACGACACGGTGCGGTAAACCGACATTTGAGCGTTGTGTCCCCAAAGTGTGCCCATTTGTTTCCAGTACTAAACTGGTTATCCTAGGGAAATAACACACTTGCCTTTGAAAACAATAGGCAAGATGAGGAGGATCGCATTGTACCGTAGACTACAGTAGTTATATAGGTAATTGTTGCCAGAACAATAACAACAACAACAGCAACAACATTAACAAGGTCCTACAGCCTATATATGGAGAATGATCTACGGCTCGAAACAGACAGCATGCGGCCAAGCTTCCTGATTTTTTTCTGAGGGTGGGGATGAGAACGCGCCGGTGGTTCTGAAGTACACCAGGTACATCACGCGACATGTTGATGAGGAATCGTGCATGTTGTGGTAAGAAGGCCACGTGTCTTGATTGCTGATAGAGGGAATATTCTGAAGGCTGGCGTGCACATATCCCCACATCCGGGTGGTGGAACATACCGATATGCGGTAGAGTCCGACGAAAGTTCGCGTTTGGCTCATGATTTGTGTTGGACGGTGTGTCGTGGGCGCGTTGTACACTTGGGTCTACACCTGCAGTACTGCCTGTAGGTCTCAACGGTAAACAAATCTTGGTTCTCGAACGCTCTTGCTGATGTTTCGAGTGTAATAACAGCGATACCGGGAGAAGGGAAGCAAAGCAGAGAGACGACACACAATCAAGGCGGCCGCCCACGAAAGGTGCCGAGCTCGCCGAATAAGCATTACAGTCTGTCGCAGTGGGTCCAATCAGTCGCCATCTCGCCATCTCTCTTTCACGCACGCACCTTTCTTGATCTCGCCCATGACGTCTTGGAACACGTCCATGAGGGGTCCAGCAGAGCTCACGTGAGGCCTACCACGCGGCTGCACGTGTCGGAACGGCCTGAACGCCCCAGTGTCCACTATCTCGTTGTTCACTACCGTGGGCAGCTGAAAGAGGCGTCGGCCATGGTGGTGGTGGTGCCCGCCGTGGGTGCGGTAGCGGTGGCACTCTCCTTGCTGCGTGCCGAGAAGGAGCGCAAGGAGCGCCAGGTGGGTGTTGGTTGAGGTAACCATCTGTCTCTCTGTCGATGTACGCGTGGTTTGGCGGTCGGTGCTGTTGTGGGGGTCTGGTGTAGACTGTGGTGTGCCGGATGTGGTTGTGTGGGGAGTGGGGGGACGAGGCTGCGGGACAGGACATGACCGTGTACACGGGTACAGAGGGGAGGAATCCACGTGTATATCCTGCCTGCTGAGCGAACTCGGTGGTGGCAGGTGGGAACAACGACAACGCCTCCATATATATATTTTCGCGTTCGAGAAAAATGCCGAATATCAGGATTGATTTTGATTGGTCCGCGCGGCCAGCGTATGTCCCATCTGTGTGTCCCCCAGTCCCCAAGTCTCCGTGCCCCTTGCTTGCTCTTCCAATTGGCGCTTCTTCTGTCGTCTATCTCCGTTTTCTCTCCCTCTCGTCACTCACGTGGCTCGAAGACCTCTTACATTGGTAGCGCGCTCACACGCTCGACTTTGCCTCTATACACTACCACGGAGTGGGACCCCGCAAGCATTATGGCGGTTATGCACGCGCAGCAGGGAGCGGCGACAAGATCGCGCAGGAGACGCGGAGGAAGCGGAGGGACCTCCGCTACGAAATCAGCAGTCTGTGGAAGCTGGGTTGGCCGCTTGCAATGGAGCTGCTTCCTGGCTCTTGCGGGTCTGGTGGTTCTGGTGTCTGGCCAAAAGGACTTGTATGAGGTCCTGGGTCTAGGGAGAGGGGCGAGCTCCTCTGAGATCAAGTAAGTACCTGCCGCCACAGTAGTCCCAAGAGGTGTGTTAGTTTTTTTCGTCCCTCCGATCGTACGGCCGGAGTATCTACAACAGACTACACATCTCACCGTACGGTCGTGCCGTGGTAGGGTGGTAGAAGTGTAGATAGCTCGATGGTCTGATGCAAGAGAAACCTGTAAAAGTTCGTCGTTCCAGTTTCGTCATTCGAAAAATAGGCAACTATGTTGCCCTGGTCAAACAATTGCATTTGTCGGCAATGGGCGTTGTGTTTGGTTCCTTTGGTGAGTTCGTCAGCGCTGCTGCACCGCCATTGAAAGAGAACATGGAAGGATCTCTCTTCATAGGCTACTGTATTTCACCGCCGTGCTGACCTTTGCGTGGCAGCCATTCAACAAAGCAGAGATCTGTCAACAGCAGTAGGGCAATGCGGCCTCGGCCGTTGCACAACAGCCACCAAGTGGGAGAAAGAAAAATACAGAAGCTTGCAAAGCGGCCGCAGTACTTGGTACCACAGCAGTAGTGCTGCAGTACGTGTGTGTGTGGAACAAACGTTAACGTTTCAACAGAGCCAGCGTAGTCAAGAGAAAAGCATTTACAAGCAGATACATACACATGCATGTGGTAACATCCGTACAGTCGAGGTCCCTCTACAGGGCGTGGTATACAGGGCGTGCGGTTTTGGTTGGGCGAAGTATCTTGACATGAGACAGATCGACCTTCAGCAGTATTGATTTTTCATGCTTGAGCACGGGTGGGTACCCCCAGAGGGCGGCCCAGTCGGCCGAGGTTATGCGTTTCCCCGCCCGCTATAGAAGGACACCGACGGTACGGAGTTTGGGATATCGATTCGCTAAAAGAGAACTGCGGTCCCGCTACGCTATACACTCTGGCGGTGGGAAGCAGAGAATGTCCCAGTCTACGCCCAACAAGTATGTCCTTTTTGGGGGCGATATAGGAAGGGAAGATAAGGAGTACCAGTACAAGTAGCGATCCTTCTTTTGTAGTGGAGCCGGCTGCGCAATTCTCCAGAGTATGGAGGGGCTGTCGATATCGTTTCGACCACAAGTTCTGGCCATCCCTTGTTCTCGGCCTGCTTTTTTCCTCGTTGCCCTGTGGTATTTAGTTGGATTTCGGTCGTCGTTACAAGATACCCGCCGTTGTTGTGGCTCGCCCACCGCCGCCGCCGTCCTCGTGCCGCGCCCTGCAGGAAGGCGTACCGGCAGCTGTCGCTCAAGTACCACCCGGACAAGAACCCTAGCGAGGACGCCGCGACACGTTTCGCGGAGGTGGCGTCTGCCTACGAGGTGCTCTCCGACGAGGAAAAGCGGTGAGTACGGTACGGTAGTGCGGTGACACTCGTGCCCTACTATTTACATGTATATGTATCGATTCTGATGCATCTTTTGCTTGCGATATGGCGAAAGCAATAGGGTTGTAATCGAGGAGTTGGTGTGGCCGTGGACTTGGCCCGTCTCTGGTTTTCACCTCCGGTTGGTAACAACCCCTTGTTCTTAGTCCCCTCGCGACTTGTTGCTACCTCTGCGAGGAAAAAGAACAGCAGAGAATATATGGGTTTTAGTGTGAGGTAAGTAATTGAACCCCAAGCCTCAACTACTAAGTTCTTCAGTGGTAGTGCGTGTACGTGTGACGTAGACGTGCATGATCTCCGTAGATGCTTGAAGAACCCTCATCCCGGAGGGTGATTGTCCCGCGGTGATGCAGCAGTGTGGGACTGTAACCGTAGGGATGACGTGGACGTGCGTGATGTCCGTAGATGCCAGACGAGGCCTCGTTCCGGAGGGAGATTGTTCCGCGGTTGGGGGACGCGTTTTAACTGCGTTGCTCTCTTTGCCTGGGTTCCGGTTCCCCACGGTGCTCAGGGATACGTACGACCGGTTCGGCGAAGAAGGCCTTAAGCGCACGGAGCAGGGCGGCAGCGCAGACCCCTTCGGCGACATGTTCTCACACTTTGGGTTCGGTGGAGGCCGGCGTCAACGAGAAGAGAGCCGAACGCCAAACGTGGAGGTGATATGCGGTTAAGGTCCACGACGCGTGGCCATGTGTGTGCGGTACTTACTTGACATGCGGAGAGTGCGTGTGGCATTTGACAACCGTTGTGTGGCCAGCATTAAGGTCAAAGAAGTGTGTACGGCAAGCAACGAAGGAGCAAGCCCGAACCCTCCTTCCCCGCATTCTGCCACGACCCGACTGTGCGGGTCCCAACTCCTCATCTTGTGCTGGGTTGTTTGTCAACAAATTTCGTTCGCCTCCAAAGCCGCCTTCTCACTAAATATTCCCTCCCTACCTCCTACGTCGTTGTCTGCAGATCCCGTTGCGAGTATCCCTGCGTCAGCTGTACGAGGGGGACACTTTCGACACCGTCTACGTCCGCCAGGCGATGTGCGTTGGGGCGGGGCAGTGCGAAAAGAAATGCAAGGATTGCCAGGGCCCCGGCATCGCCGTCAGGATGCACCAGCTCGGCCCAGGCTTCGTGCAGCAGGTTCAGGTGTGTCGCCATGCCCACCAAGCCTCTGGTTGCGCCGCGATTCGAGGGTAACATCATCGTCGTCGTTGTCGTCGTGGGCGATGCCGCCGCCCGTTTTTTTGTCTCTTATCGATTTTTTTTGCAACGGCCGAAAGGGGGGTTGTTTCCAAGACGGGTCAAGTGTCTATGTGAGGGGGGGGGGGGGGGGGGGGGGGACTCTTTTTTTTGGGTGCCTTAAGGGGTAAAACATTTACCCCCCCCCCCCCAAAGGAGGGGGACCTTTTTCCCCAGGGACCAACACCGAGGGGCAAACTTTTCCTTCCTTTTTTCCAAAAGGGGGCCAAAAAAGTTTTCCCCAGGGGGGTTTTCCCACCCAAGGTCTTTCCCCCCTTTTTAAAACC